CTCAAAAATTCTGACCATTCATCTGTTGTCTAGAATAAATAATGCGAAATCGAAACACGGATTGTACGTATAATAGTTGCCAGAACCAGGGCATAGGCAAAAAATGACGACGGAGGTGATGTGAATGTCCTTCATTTTTCGAAGAGGCAACTATTATCTCACGAAGGATAATTTGTAGTGCACCGCGTAAATTGAAGGCACACTTGGAGTGACTCGAGCACCATTATGTTAGACCCCAAAACTCTTTTTGCCCTCATTTTTCCTTCATTTCAAGTTCTTAGATGTCCCCTGATAAATTACGGATTGAAAGTGCCGTCCAACTGAATCAGTGAAAATGAAAACACACCAACTCGGAAAAATGAAAATATTTACAACACACAAAATTCTGCGCAGTAGCTTAAATATTTACGAGCGATTGGTCTAAGTTAGAGCTATTTAGTGTCAAAGTTGGAAACGCCCAAATTGAAATGGATGCGCCATCTCCAATGGCTCTCATGAAAATTGCGCGTCTAAATGAAATTTGGACTTTTTCAAGCTCCCGAGTTGGTGTGTTTTCATTCTTACAGATTCAATCACGAATTGAGTTTGGAACTATTTCAGGTGTTCATGCATGGTGCTGCACTAGATATTTTGACCAAGAACCATCCGATAAGACACGCGATCGGTACCATGTTCTATCGTCCATTAGTTAGCAGCAAACCTGAAAGCTGAAATCTTTTAAGGATAAGTACCTATCACTTGAAATAATCTCAGATCGTTGACCAAGTACGAGTCTTGTGTCTCCGCGAGCAGTACAGTGAGAATTAAGAAATGAGAACTTTACTTCTAAGTGGCCTCCTTGTGGTGTGCCTTTGCGGCGTCACGAACAGTCAGAGGGATTAAATGTTCACCGGTCGCAAAGATTATGGACTGGAATGGATCGGGAAACTGGGGGCACGTCAAGGAACAAACGAAATAAGAGAGGGGTCGGAGGGATGGAAGTTGGAAATGAGTTGATCAAAGTTTATGCGAGACTGTAAAATCTACCTGTCCGTTTGTGACATCAGGACCCAAAATGTCTTAACCCTCCCTAAGAAAAAGGACATCAGCAAACTCGCTGCACGACCGCCATCATCGGTGCGATACATCGATTGATCTGCGGGCCGATTATTGAAATTGATAGACAAAGCTATAGACAAAGGAGAAAAAAGAGATGTGGAGAGATTCTATTGGTGGAAGCGGGTGGTTGCAATGGACAAAAGAGGTAGTTAATAGAATATAGTCTGTCCGAGATGGGAAGGTCCGTGGAAAGTCGGAATAATTAGCACTATTTTGCAGGGTGGGGGTGTCTCGACCCTCGTCAACTGTCACTTATCGATGTTTCGCGCACGCCGCAGCCACCGCACAGGAGGCTATGGGCCTCGGAGCGGCGGTTTTTCCCGGGATATGAACCTGGAGCCGCAAATTCTTGTGCTAGGCGCCGAGCTGCGCGATGCGGCAAGCGACTCATAAGGAGTCAGCCCTCTGTGCGGTGCGCCACGACACAGGGTTGGTTCAGTGTCTTCATCTCTTACAATGGCTCGAACGCTACCCTTGGTTCTACATAGTGCAATTAATTCCGACTTTCCACGGACCTTCCCATCTCGGACAGACTATAACTAACAGCAACCCGCGAGAGATCCGATAGTTAGTCCATCATTTTCTCCCTCAATCTATAGGAACCACCCATTTCAACCAATAGGATCGCTCCATACTCCCTGTGTCTTCTTTGTCTATAGCTTTGTCTATGAATTTCAATAATCAGTCCGCTGCTATTTAAACCTACGGAAAAGGATCGATAAAGAGTGTTTGCAACGAACACCTTAATAATCGATTATTTACCATAGCTTCGAACGGGGGCAATATCGATAATCGATCACTCACGCCTTTCCACTGGGCACCAACCCCCGGATTCTCTCGGCACGTCGCGTCGCATTCGCATCAAGGATGGCTCCCCGTGCCGCCGCCGACGGACTGAATACCCCAACGGTAATCATGACGTCATTCTCATGAGTTAACGGTGGGGGACAAATAAGTGTGACAATATATGTGGAGGAGGAGCAATTGAGGCACCTGCCTTTGATGTTCCGGTCTGGCCCGGAAACATTATTTTCTTTCCTCTCTACTCCTTCTCCGGGAGTCTGTCTCGCTCGCTCGGCACATTCGGTGCCATTCCTCCGGTCAGACGCGTCGCTTGGCCAATTGATTCCTGGCATTTTTTATTGCTCTCTTCATTTCGTTCAACTCGTTTCCTTGATTTGCTCCCTTTTGCTCGGTTTGCTCCGGCCTCCGCCGACTTTGGCTCAGACGTTGCTCCTTATTGGAAATTCTTTCCACGAAACGCCTTTTGTCAAGTCGCCCTCAAGTCTGGACGTCTTCAATCGTAAACGTCCTTAAATAGTCCCTCCTCTGACGTAAGGGCGTATCGCCAATTTCACACGAACCCCAGAGAGCATGGATTTATACGTAAAACATAGCTCACTTAGAAACTGAGATACGCTTTTTCGCCAGAGGAGCGACGAAATGATAGAGGCACGCTGATGACAAATTCCTCACATTGTAGTAAAATATATCCATGGCCGAAGTGCGAAACCACGTATATCACGGTTTGCAACGTTGCAGACTTCCGGTTATTCTTGGTGTTTTCCTGCGGGTCGATTATTGAATTTGATAGAAAAATCTATAGACGAAGAAGACAAACGAGATATGGAGGGATCCTAGTGGTGGAAGCGGGAGGTTGCAATGGACAAAGAAGGTGGGTAATAGACTAAGAAACGGCAACCCACGAGGAACCCGATAGATAGTCCATCGTTTTCTCCTTTACTCTATAGGAACCCCCCATTTCGACCAATAGGATCGCTCCATACTCTCTATACATATATTCTTTTTCTATCGTTTTGTCATCAATTTCAATAATCGGCCCGCTGGGGAAAACTAGCCGATGTAATATCTTATTGATTTTTCCTCTCCACCAGCAAAATATCCTGTGTAAATTTCAAGCGATAAATTTGGCTCGTTTCTTTCGAAAAAATAAAATAGGAACGGAGATTTTGAAACGGCGCAATGGAGCTACGTGGTTTCCGCACTTTGGTCATCGACATTGCGACTTCACGGAGCTAAGTAGTTTGGGTGGTTTTTTCCCCCAATACCATCAGACAACTCGTCATTTCAATCAGTTCAGTATAGCCCACGGCGAGAGTGCGTCCAATGCGTCTTGCGAAAGACCGGGACCTACTCCAGCATGGATCCAGTGAGCTTTGTCCAAATAAAAACTCCAAGCGTGAAATGATGACTCGAGGAATCCTACATTTCATTTTGTTGGAAGCTTTCAGGTCAAAGAGCTGGAGGCTTTTACTAGCTCGCAAGATTATTGACGCTACTTTTCTGAGAATTTGTATTTAAAAAAAAAAAAAAAATTACGAAAAAATTAAAGTTCTCTCTGCAATTCATTTACGGAAAAGCGCAAAGGACTAATTCTTAGAATTGAACTAATTGTAAGTTCTCTCTTCTCAAAGAAAGAAAGAACCAACCGCGATTATAATTCTGTAGAGGGGTGTTTGTATTAGAATCAGAGTGACTCTGAATTTAAAAAAATTGGCCTCCGGCCAATTTATGCGCGGCGCTTCGCGCCGCGTACCGGCGCTACGCGCCGGCATTTGGGGGGCTTCGCCCCCCCATCCGCTTAGCGGATTGGTGCGGGGACCGCACGGGACTTTCTCGCTCGAGCCGGCGNACTTCCTCTCTACCCTATGGGAGCGAGAAAGTAAAAATCTCTATAGTTGGTATTCATGCATCTTCTTGAGGGTTGTTAGAGCATGCATTTAAATGCAGTGTCAAGGCTGTGTGATGGCACGGAAATATAGAGAAAGGGAAGGGTGGGATAGAGAGGAGTTTTCTTTTTTATACATGTCTTCATTTTCCTGTAACGTAAGGTGCTAGTTCTGTCAGTTCTTTAACAATTAAGAATACTCAAAGAACTTTATATCGATTTTCCACGAAACTAACGAGAAAAGAGAATCGAACAACCAGCACAGGATAATACGACAAGGAAGACAAAACTTTTTATACCTCTTCCGAATAGTATGCAAAATACGAAACGAGATAAGAAAAAGTTTGTAGGGACTTTAATTGGCAGCAACAACTCGATTCGCACTTCTTTCCATTACTGCTTCCTGCAGGATCTCTAAGGAACGTAACTATTTTGACACATAAGAAAACTTTTGGTTTAATTAGTAAAATGAAAGCGCACGGTGCTGCTGGACCTCTTTCGCGACGTAAAGCGGCGGAACTCAATCGGGGTGAATTTCTGTGTTTCAGTTTTATTCTCTTGACCCAAAAATGGCTCAAATGGAGGCGGTCAACGCAAATGCAAGGTGTGAAGATCATCAACGACATCATCAGATCAGCGACGATAGTTTATAAAGCAAATTTACCTCACTGTAATCTGCGGGCTCTGTGGTTTGAAATTATGAATATACCCGCGTTCCTATACATCCCCGAATGATCTTTACGTCGTTTTTATGTATAGGTGCCGAACAATCGTACACTATATTTGATTATACAACGAATCTGAATTTATCCTTCGTGTTGATTTGAACAAACCCTCAGTCTGTTGAGAGCTCCACGTTGATTTTTTTCAGCATTAGTTTAGAATCTAAAGACAAAACGAGCATTGTTTAGTGTCGTAAGGGGCTGACATTTTAAGGGGTGTAAATTATTCTTAGTGCTTTTCTAGAGAAGTCTCGTGTTTCCGAGAATTTTCTTCATTTTTCCAATTTCAAGATGCGTTAACAATATCGTAAATAGTGTCAACTCGGTTCTAAATATCCAATTCGATAATTTATTCACCCTATACATCCATCGACAATAGTGTATTCTTATATTTCACCCTGCTCATACCCATGACAACAAATAATGCTGTTATCATGGGAATTGAGACAGTTGAGTTGTGGAAGTATAAAAGTTGCTGTCACAAGATTTACCTGCTTCCGCAGTCCATAATTAACGGTGCCACGATAAGACGAGATGAATTGCGAAGACACAATGTCAAAACAAACACTTTTCCGATCGGCAATTTGTAAACATGTAAAAGTAAACAAAAACTATTATAATTTGGCACTTTTCTTTACTGTTTTCGCTTTCAGTAAGGAAATCGAGCTTTTACAATTAAAATCCGATCCCACACACTTTGGACAAAATAACTAAATCCACTAAATGGGATTATGATACACTACCTATTCACACACTACGAAACCCACTCATTTAACTTATCCATTAAATCACAGAGCGGTTTTCTTGTCAATGTTTATTTACAATCGCGGCAATTCGTACCGTCCTTGAAAAATTTAGATGCAGGCACCGTTGCGATTCCTGGAATCGTCGGCGCACGACACTGGGACGACGACGTCGACACGGGCGAAAATCGCGCGAAATCCCCAGAAGTAGCGAAGAGGTCGTGAGCGCCGCAACCGGGGCCGGAGAGTCAAGGGGAGATCCCGGCACCTCACTGATAAGAGGTGAAGCTAGCCCACGACCGGGGCTTCATTCACCCGCCCCCGCCGACCCTCCCACCCCCCGCCACCCCGGAGCGAGGTGCCCCGCGCGTCTGCGCACGGCCACCCGACCCGCGGGACGCACGCTGCCTCCAAATCTGCGCGCCCCGCCGTGTCGCAGTCCCACTGTGGGGATTGCGCCGCGATCCGACAAGCGTGGAGTCAGACGGTGTTTAGAAAACACGGACCCTGCGATGAGCCCTCCAGGCTCGAACCTTTGCACTTCCTGCATCCTGCATGCCGTCCTGCCTCGCGCCAATCCCGCACCGCTACGCCCCCTCCCCCTCGTGTGCGGATGCATTTTGGCGTTTGTGGTGTAACATGACATCTAGCCGCCGTGACAGTTATCTCATGAGTAATTAAGTCAAGAAGGTGGACGACTTAAATTCAATAAATAAATGAAAGGAGTGAATACATTATTAAAATTAAACAAATTTAAAAAAAGGAGAAGAAAAAACTGATAAAATTGAGAAAATCGAATTGATGAGAAAATTAACGTATGTAAATTAACGTGTTTTAAATAATTCTAAAAATCCAAAAATTACTCAAAACCCATGAAGAAAAAACCGCGCATGAAGGAGACTTACATTTGGCTGAGTATGGTCTCACGAATCGAAATCGCACGAAAGTCAAATTAAGCACATAAAAAAGTGTTACATTTTTCCAAATTAGCCTGTCCGGAATGAGGCATTCAGTTCAGTAAACAGAAAATTTGTTGCGTGGACACAGAAATCATTACCTAGTAATTACGGCCAAATTGCTGGGTGCGTGGAATCTGCTGTTTTCAAGCAGCATAAATTGCCCGATCAGAATATTGAGGATAGTCAGAAGAGTTGAAATGCCGAGAGTGGGTTTGGCTAAGCTTTTGATTTACTTTCAACTATGCACAGGAAAACTCTAACCCAAACTAACCGTAAAAGCGGGGTTAGTAACTGGGGTTTTTTCCCTTTCTTTTTTGAATTTTCACAGAATATTCTTCGAATAGAGAAGAAAAATCACGGAACTTTTCAAGGACTGATATTGAGTAGTTTCTTGCTGGAAAAATTAATTTTGACGGGAAGTCTTCGAAGTCTCTCACTGATTTAAGAGTACATCTAGTTTGATGATTCCACCTCAAAATTTAATTAATTTTCGCGACGCGATTTCTGCGCACTTCAAACCTTCCAACCAATTTTCATGAGTATGCACTCTACATTGTCACCCTATTCGGTCCGGCAATCTGATCCATTCAGAGATTTGATATTTGCAACCTTGCCAACTTGCCATTTATAAGTGCAAAAAATTCGAAACGCAATCGGTAAAAGGCGAATTCGGGCATAAGTTTTTTTAGGGCGGAATCAGTGGGACAAAAGACTGGCCGTGACCATCGATAACGCGATTGGTTCATCTCCATCGAGCATTTGTGTATCATTTTGTATTTTCAAATGTAAAAACTATCGTCAGGAGTTTTTTCATACTTTGGGTATTTGTTTAATTGATTTTTTCTTTTTGTTTTGCATCTATGCATTATGCAAAATCTCCTTTTATTCGTTCAGAAATATAAAGTCTCTTAAAAGTTTTCGATTCTGTTGCTGAAGGACTTCTACAATGAAAGGCCTGGCGAGTCCTTTGAAAAATTTTCCAAATGAAGTTAGGTTTATGATGTGGCTGTTTTATTATTTTCCTGAATTAGTGGAGAAACCACGAGAGATAAAATATAGTACTTGTGTTTTAAGCGATCCACACTTCACAAAGAGAACTGCATGCCTCTTGGAAGATTCATAGCCAAATAAAGAATTTATTGAAGCTAAACATTAGTCGCGATACCTAAGATTTCGGAGTATCGTTGAAGCGCCTTCATTTCTGAAGCAAGCAGCAACTCATACGTTCTAACTTACTCATTGGCTGCTGATTTCACATATTCAGTGTACACTGTACAGTGGCCTCAACGTCCGTCAGTATCTGAGGATGGGTAAAATGACTAAATATTAATGAAAATAGGAATTCACGATTGTCCATCAATGCCAGCGGTTGATTATTGAAATTGATAGACAAAGCGATGAATAAAGAAGATTAAGAGAACATGGAGCAATCCAATAACTCGAAGGAAGCAGGTGGTTGCAAGAGGATCGCTCCATTTGCCCATTGTCTTCTTTGTCTATTGCTTTGTCTACCAATTCAATAATCAGCCCATAGCTCCTCAATAGGGGAGCGAGTTTAGGATATTCATATCATTCAGCGTAAAGTGGCTTCTCGGGTATCGATCGACGTGAACCCACGGTCACCAATTAATTTCATCGACAGTGTTGATAAAAAAAAAAACTGGTGTCGATTTGATCGACAAGAATCGATAGAAAAATAGATACGTGAACCAATTCGATTGATTCACGGAGTTGCCGATCGATTAACGATCTTATCGACGGATTCACGGATTTCTCAATCGAACGTTGTCGATCGAATCACACGCCGATCGGTTTACGGAGTTATTTTTCGATCGAATAATGTCGATCAAATCCATATTCTCCGAATTTATGTCAGGACTAAAATGTTGGCGACTTCCGCGCAGGACTGATATAAAGCCGGGGATTTTTCATGTGCCATAATTTTGTATAACCGCGGCGCACAGTGGAATGAGTCGATGGAATAGGTAGGTCACGAAATTTCGGACAAAAACTGCTAATTTTGAAGTTTATTTTTCAAATTTTAAAATTAAATGAGTGTCCAGTGGACATTTTTACTACAAAGCCATCAAAAGCAACAACCACTTTTGAAAACTCAGCGTCATTTATTGACGGAGTTATAAGCATTTAAAGTTTCTACACTATGTCCGACAATTCCAATTACCTCGATCTACTGTGCGGTGTACGAAGGATGAAGGTAGAAGCCGATGTGACCCGCACAGCGAGCGGCTTAATCAAAAAGAAAATAAGATTAGAAATCATCGGGACGGTAAAGGAGGATAAAAAGTAGGATGGGTAAGTATAATTTTTCTCTCTCGCTCGTCAGTGATGCGGCACGGTGGCGAACAACCGACGCGGTATTTAGCGGGAGAGTATTCCTCAATTTGAAGGCGAAAAGTCGCGCGCGCACCCCACATCGCTACAAAGAACGGAGAACAAAACAATGCTTACTTTAACAATGAATCGAGCAACTCTGGATTAACAGCTGACAGCAACGTGTGCACTGCTGGGCTACGGAAGACCGCTGTATGAACATTCCAGAGTTGCCAGATTTCCTCCAATAAAGTTGGTATTTGCGAGGTAAGTTATAAATATTCTCTCTTAATATTTACACATTATGCAAATCTGATTGCGAGCAGAATTCTCTGAAAAATTGAGAAAAAAATATCCACAGATTTCCGTGAAATTCGTATTCTGTCATAAGAAAATTTGGCAACATGCGAGGGCGCATACGGCGTTTCTCCTAAGCTCGGCATGCAGTGCAGGGTGAGGGAGTCCAAGGAGAGGGGTCGCGTGTTCAAGTGCCTGCAAAAGAGATGATACTCCAAAAGCCTGCTACACACAGTTGTCAAATTAAAAGTGGGGGTGAGCTACCTAATGCAACAATCTCAGTTTTATTCTTTCGAAGAAAGCCCCTGCCCTGTAGCAGAAATTTCGCTCGACGTAGGTATGTGATGTGGTATCATGCGAAAGTGAGGGAAGATCTTAGCTTCTCACCTGTCTGCAATTACTGACGTTTAAGAATGTAAGCATTGTGCTTGGATTGTTAAAGGCGGCAATCGAAGGCGCGACTATTCGGACTCCGGAGCAGGTATGAGATGTGGTATCAGACGAGAGTAAAAGAAACTCTTATTACTGACGAATATAAGTTTAGGCCATCCTTGAATATGGAAATAAAACGATCGATTGATTCATACGAATAAAATCAACTTAATTTCAGAGTTGTTATAATAATTTGCCTAAATTTTTCAATAGAAAACACTTTTTCTAGCTAAATTTAGAAACACCACAAGTACCATTCGCTCTTTTGCCTATGCCAATTGGCGCGTCTATATATGTGAACCAGAGGTACTTAGTGTTTTCCTGTCGCAAAATGTAGTCAAACTATAATATTACAGTGACTGGATTGATAATTTTTTTTGATAGCAAAATTTGATAAAATCAGAATTTTGGAGACATTGAGATACTCTGTAAATCTTGAAACCTCAAGCTATTACACTTTAACTGTCACTGATTAGATGCGGAAGACTTGGGTGGGCGCGTGGGCGTGTATCGGCGTAGCTTTGAACAAAAGACGAGTTTTTAGTCTCTCTGCAACTTGTATTCTCTTTCTAAGTCGATGTCATTCAATACAATACCTTAATTTACTACTTTTATTTAATGATGTATACCTATGCCCAGGAAAAATGGAAGAATAATTAAATTCGGTCTAAGAGAATAAGAAAGAAGAAAAAGAAAAAATACGCAAGGATCACCGCAATATCGCGGCGAACACGCGATTGTTCCAGAGTTTTCGTAAAGCGATTGCAAATTTTGGCGTGTGCACAAATTTTACAGCGGCTGATGAAGTACATTAAAGATCACACAATTTTCACCTCAATCGCAGAAACTTTGCGAATTTAATATCGATGTGAGCACTATTTCCATGAGCGTTGTAAACTGTGATGTGAAAAAATCTATGATTTTCCTTCAACTTCGCGTGATACCACATACCTACTCCGGAGTTCGAATAGTTGCTCGCTTCCTTTCCGGTGGTTAAAAAGCGAGAGATTTCGCAAATTTAATCTCAATATCACGAGAATTCAGTGATATTCCCAGCGGATTCCTAAAATCTGGAGATTACGCGCTTTTCATCTCATGGTTTCGCGAAAAAGCAGTTATTATTCCTGCGATTTTTAAAAAGAAAATGAGAAATTACGTGATAATCACCGCAATACCTCGGCAAATACTCAATTTAAAAAATCAACGACGTGATGAAATTAGTCAAATTTTTGAACATTGC